GCTCCCCCGCCGCCTCCGCCCCGCAGCCGCGTCCCGCACCCGGCTCTCCGTTCTCCCCGCGGAGCTCCGCCGGAGCCCGGCCCGCATTCCTGGCATAACTCGGCTCGACCGCAACCGCCCTCCTCCTCCTCCTCCCCGTCGCCCCGCTCCAACGGGGAGGATGAAGCCACGGCGCCCCGTTCTCCCCGCGCTTCGTCCGGCAGCGAAGGCGAAGGGCAAAGCGGCGCCCACCGTCACCGCGTCGCCCGGAAGAAGAAGAAGGAGAGCGGCGGTTGGGAGAGCCCGGCGGATGGCGGCGAGGCCGAGGCCGAAGGCTGCGGGCGGGCGGTCGCCCGTCACCCCTTGCCCGTGGTGGCCCGCGTCTCCAAGGTGAACATCCTGCCCTTCGGCAGCCCCGGCGGGTCGCGGAGCGGCAGCCGTTACTCCAGCACGGAGACGCTGAAGGAAGAGGAGCAGTTTGGGGTCTGTTGGCCCAACCAAGGACGGACTCTCCCGGCGGGTTACGGCGTCTATCGGTCGCCCAGTTTCGGGACGAGCGACGGCCTGGCGTGGGGGCAGCCGGCGCTCCGCGTCCGTCCCAAGCTGCCGCAGGGCGCGGCCAAGGCGAAACCGGACTTTGGGAGCGAGAGCCCGCACCAGCCGGGGCTGGAAGGGGAGCGGGCCGAGCACCGCAAGTCCTTGTCCAACCCCGACATCGCCACAGAGACCCTGACCCTCCTCAGCTTCCTCAAATCAGACCTCTCGGAGCTGAAGGTGAAGAAGAAGGGGGTGAGGATCGGCCTCGACGCCGGCTCCGACGGCTGCTCCGGCATCGCCACCCCCTCCCCGGGCAGCCGCAGCGCCGCTCAGCCCCCCAACCGCTGGGCGCCGGGCGAGCGGCCAACGCTCAAGGACCTGACGGCCACTTTGCGTCGTGCCAAGTCCTTCACCTGCTCCGAAAAATCAGGGACGCGGCGGCTTTTCCTACAGAGCGCCATGAAGCAGAGCTCCTCCGAGCTCCTCCTGGCCACCGCTGACGGCCAGGACCGGGTGGCTTCGGATGGGGGACAGCGGGGGGACGAGGATGCCCTCCCCGTGGTCATCCAGGACCAGTACATCCAGGAGGCGAGGCAGGTCTTTGAGAAGATCAGCAGGATGGGTTCCCAGCAGGACTACGGCTTCGTGGCCGAGCAGAAGGACAGCGGAGGTGTGGAGGGCGCCGAGGTGGTGGCATCGACAGGGACGACGGAGGTGACCCTTCGGGGACGGGCAGAGAGCACGCGGTGTTTGAAGGAAGCGGAGTCAGAGGAGAACCTCGCTCGCAGGAAATCCGTGGAGGAGCTGTCGGGTCACGAGTCGAGCGTGACGGACGAGGGCATCGTCACGGAGCCGGAACCCGTGGGGATGCCCTTCCAAGACCTGCATGAAGCCGTGGACGCCTGGACGCTGCCCAACGCCGGGCCGGCAGCCGGTGACACCGAAACGCCATTGCCCGCTCACCCGGCAGCGGCAGTTGAAGACCTTCCAGCTGGCAAATCCGAGACACCGAGCACCCCCGGCAGCTTGCGCCGCCGCCGTAAGTTCCCCTCGGCAGGTCCCAATGGGATGGAGGGTGGCAGCGAGGGTGGCACCGAGCCCTACCGCTCCCTGAGCGACCCCATGCCCCACCGGAGATGCTCGGTGGCGGAGGAGGCGAAGAATTTCTCCGTCGACAGCAACCTCCTGGGCTCGCTGAGCGCCAAGGCGGGCATCCCCCAACCCGCCGCCATCGCAGGCAGCGCAGGCAGCGCAGGCAGCGACCTGTCACTCGGCAGCGATGGGCCGCGGGACTACAGCAGCCTCATCCGAACCATTGTCAGCCAGCCCGGCGCCATGGCTAAACTCATCGACGAGAAGGGCAACGGCAAGACCATCAAGAAGAAGTCATTGAGCGACCCCAGCCGCCGCGGTGAGCTGCCAGCTGGCGCCTTCGAAGGTCCCGGTGAGGCCATCAGCGAGCTGGAGCCCAGCATCCCACCGTCCAGCAGCGAGCCCATCCTCTCGGCACAACCAGCAGCGCCGGGCACCGGCCGCGGCTATGGCTTTGACCCCAAGTTGGCCGATGTGTTGTCCCCTCGCATTGCCCGGCGCAGCTCCAAGAAGCGCTCCAACCGCGCGGCTCACCAGGAAAACCAACCGCCGCCAGCACCTGCCGTCCACACCACCAAAAGTCGCCCGGCCACCAAGCACGTCCGTCACACCAGCGAGCCTGCCACCTTCGTCCCCATCACCGTCCCCGAGCCGCTTGTCCCCTCCGGCCACCACAGCCACCTCCCCGCACCGGTTGCCGCCCGCTCACCCGGCAAATCCTTCCCGACCCTCCAACCTCCTTCGTTGGAGGATGTCACCAAGCGGTACATGCTGGCCCTCAACTCAGGTGACGCGTCCCCCGGTCCTGGGGATGGACCCCGCTCTCCACCCACTGCCCCACAGCCCCGGCTGCCCCGGTGCCCACGGCCGCCCGACGAACACGGCCCCAGGACCAAGCCGCAGGTGGTAAGTGCCCGTCCATCCTAAAACTACCTTCGTTTCACGCGGTACCTGACCCCTCCAAAGCGTTGGTGGCTTTGGGGGTGCCTCGCGTGTCCCTCGTTGGGGACAAATTCCCATCCGTGGATGCACTGCTGGATGGCCAAGAGCCTTCCCAGCCCGTGCTGGCAGTTGCAAGGGGATGAGCTCTTGTTTGTAGGAGCGACTCCTCCAATAAAAAGGCGATTTTTGGGTGGGAAGAAGCAGTTTTCAGGTTAAACAGCACCAAGTTTTGGTGGAAGGTGTTTTTATAGATACATACATATTATATGCTGTATTTATATATAGCATCTCCCAGCAATGCTATCTAAGTCCCGGTAAACGGGTGTGCTCTTGGCCAGCCCCAAGATGCTGAATCAAAAATTGCCTTTACCTTGGTGGGGAGGGCTTAAATGGTCCTTTTGCTTGGGATTCCCCATGTCATAGCCCTTTTTGAGCAAATTGGCATTTTCCCCCCCAGAAAAATCACCATCCCTCTGCCCGGGACCATGGGCTTTGCGGTGCCAGCAGCGTGGGAAAAAAGGGGAAAAAATATTCTTGTGCGTGCACCAACTATTTTATCAACGGGTAAAGTTTTATCCTGTCCGCGGAAGAATTAATGCTGTTTGGGGGATGCAAAGGCGGTTTGCTCACCCTGAAGAGCAGCCGCGGGCTTTGGGGTCTTTCCCGGGGTGGGTTTTTGGCATTGCCAGCCCCTCGGCTGTTGTTTGAAGATGGACTTGGGTTTCCATTGCTTCGGGTGTTTGTGCCAGGAAGGGCTTGGAAGCGTCACCTCCTCCTGCAGCACAGCAGTGCTGGCACCCACGGGGCTTTTAATAGCTCCGGGCGAAGCCCAGAAATACCCATTCCCGTTCCCGTGGGGGATGAGGCGAGAGCTCACGGGAACAGGGCTGGCAGGGCTCTCTCGCCCTGCTTCGATGCCGATTTAAGAGGACGGGCTGGACCGTTCCCTTCCGACAGCCGCCGGCAGCCAAGCGTGAAGTCCCCAGGGCTGAGCCCGGTGGTGTAACCCTTGCTGGCCGGGGCAGAGCCATGTGGAGCAGGGGTGTTTTTCTTTGCACGCTCCCAAAATCCAGATCCCTGCAGCATCATTCCCCCAAGATATTCCCTTGGGAGCAGGCATCCCTGCAGCATCTACCCCCAAGATATTCCCTTGGGGTCAGGCATCCCTGCAGCATCTTCCCCCAAGACATTCTCCTGGGGTCCAGCATCCTCACAGCATCATTCCTTGAAGGTATTATCTTGGAGTTCAGCATCTCCACAGCATCATTACTCCAAGATATTCTCCTGGGGTCCAGCATCTCTGCAACATCCTTCCCCCAAGATATTCTCGTGGGATCCTGCAGCACGATTCCCCCAAGATGTTCTCTTGGGGTTGGGTATCCCTGCAGCATCATTCCCACAAGATATTCTCTCGGGGTCCAGCATCCCTGCAACATCATTCCCCCAAGATATTCTGTTGAGGGGCTCTGCCCCTCATCCAGCTCCTTCTCCGGCTGTTGTCCCCATTGCTGTTGGTGGCCAACAACAGCTCTTGGCTCCTGCGTAAAACTTCCTTGGAAATAATTTGGGGTGAATTTTGCGGCATTTTTGTTCAATGTACCAGTTTAGAGTGAGACGCTTGTCCTCTCTGATCTTGGGGTGAAAAGTGCTATTGAAGCATCGAGCGTTATAATTAAGCGGGGTAACGAGGAACCTCCCGGCGCCGTGGCTGGCGGCACCTTTGGGACATCAGCAGGTCCCCAAGGCAAGGCAGTGCACGTGGCAGCATTTCTTTATAAAGCAATATCGCTTACTAAATTATTAATATGTTTATATAATACGTGGTTTATATTAATAATTTATAAAGTGGTATTTTTTATTCAGGCAGCTCCCTGCAGTGCCCCAGGGATGGTGCCCACCCCATGATGGCCCCAGTATCAGGGACGCTCTGCTGACCCCGCACCCCGATACACCCCCCAACCCTGGTCACTTTGGGATCATTTCGGGTGGATTTTTACCAACTCCAGCACTGGGATCTGGCAACTGGGAGCCCAGTTTGGCCAAGCATCACCTCAGGGACATGGGCCACCCCACGGGGCTGGACCCCGGGGATGCTGCTCCTTACCTTGCTTGAACCCGCCGGCCTCGGCGAAGAGGGTGCGAATTTTCCCTTTTAAGGGCAACGCCGCAGCTGTATCTTCAAATCTCTCTCCTGCCTTTGAATTTCTTTGTGCTGCAGCCATAACATAACTGAAACCAGGATTTTTATTTCTCCTTTTGATTTATTATATAGTGGAGCTGGGATGTTTTATTTCAGATGGCACCAGCCTTCGCTGGGGGGGCGGAGGGGGACCGAGCCCTGCAAGGGAGTTGCTTTAATTATAGGCAAGAGCATCGAGGACCGGATATAACTTGGCACCAGGACGGCTGGCTGGGAGCAGAGATTTACGTGCTCCCTGACGGATGGCGAAGAAATAAGCTTTATTTTTTATTTTTTTTTTTTTCCCCTCCCTAACTCAATGGAGAGGGCCGGCGTCACGAGGTCGGTTGTCTGCTTGGGGAAATGGACATTGTTGCTTGGGGATTTGGGGACGTCGGAGCATCCATCCTGCCTCGTGGTGATGGTCTGTCTGTCCTGGTGTCTGTCTCCAGCAGACGATGCTGGGAAGAGATTAATAATGGGGCCTGGCAAGTGTGTGGCGATGCTCCCCCAAAATATTCTCTCCCTAGATATATCTTGCTCCTCCAAGATATTCTCTTGTGGTTGGGTATCCCTGCAGCATCACTCCCCCAAGGTATTTCCCTGGGGTCCAACATCCCTCCAGCATTTTCCCCCCAAGATATTCTCCTGGAGAACAACATCTCTGCAGCATCATCCCCCCAGGGTATTTTCCCAGCCCTCACGGTTTGGTGGTGGCTTTGGCAGTGGTGAGCACTGCCGTGCCAGCTGTTTGCTGGGTTCGGCTGCCCGGCGCGTCCCGGCTGCGAGAGGTAACGTGCTGTTCTCCCTCGGCGGCAGGACTGTTTGTCCTGGGTGCTTTCCAGCGATCCTCCATGGGGCTGATGCCGGCCAAGCCGTCCTGGGTGCAGAAGAGCTCCTTCACCCTGTGTCTGATGCCGGGCATGAGGCTTTTAATTCCCAGGAGCTGTTAGCAGCACGTCCTGCTCCGGCACACAAGCGCGGGTGCTGCAGAAAGAAATGATGCTGTCAAGAAAACAGGTTAAAAAATCCCCAAAACTCAAGATAGAAAAGTTTTTCTGCCTCCAGCACCCCATAAGCTGCTGGGATGGGCAGCACACGTATGCACACCCATGGACACACATGTGCAGCAGACCGGCACCAAGCAAGGGTGCTTTGAGGGTGGATTTGGGGTGGATTTGGGGTCCATTTGCTGCTCGGTGAAGGTATGAGCGGGATGCCAGGCTGGCGACCCCTTAGATCTTTCTTTCCCCCATGGCCGAATCCAGCATGGGATGGAAAATTAGGTATGTTTGCTGCCATGCTCTGTTTGTTGACTTAGCAGCAGTCAGATTAAACAGGAAAATATTGATTTAAATATAGCACCTCGCGGGAGCAGAGGAGCCGTGGGAACGTGGCCCCCGGCGCCCCGGCCGCTGCCTTCCCCACCTGCTGCTCCCCGAGCGGGGCGGCTGCACCCCGAAAAAGTCATTGGGGATGGAGGGGGATCCCCAGAGGCAAACATCAGGGTCACGTTCCCAGGGACGCTTGCGTAAAAACCCCCCTATCCCTCCTGAGTATCCTCCCTCCGAGCTCGCCCCGGCATGGCTCATCATCCAGAAGCTCACCCTTGCTTTGGGGACAGCTCGAGGGCCGGATCTGTGCACTGGCCACGTATTCCTTGGCCAAAGTTTATCATCTTTGGACCTATTTATCCCTCCGTTCCCTTTCCGTAAATCTCCATAGAAACCAGGTTTTGGGCCACAGCTGGGAGTTTTCTCATTTTTTGGTGTTACTGGAAATCTATAATTAAAGCCGTTGCGGGGGGAGGATGGGGACGGGTAAATTTTGGCTTTCCTCTTGCAGTGCCTGCGCCGATGATTTGCTTGGGTTTTGCAGCCCTGGTTGTGCCGTGCTCAGCGAAACGCTGGGGTGGGGGGAAACTGAGGCACACAGGCAGCCTCCACTGCCCTTTGGAGGGAGCTAGGAGGTGGGATGCAGCAAGGAGAAGTTGGCCGGCATCAGGGGGACCCACATGTGATGCTACCTATCAGCAGCATGGACCAACACTGGGACCACCAGCACGGGGCCAAGCAATGTGGCTGGGGGGCTGGACCAGCCCAGATCCCCTTAACTCTGCCCATTTTTGCCTCTTTCCTTCCCGGGTGCCAAAATCACCTTAAATCTTCCCGTCTTTGCCCTTTCCCTTCCCCAGTGCCAAAATCCCCTTAACTCTGCCCATTTTTTAGTCTTCCCTTCCTCAGTGCCAAAATCCCCTTAACTCTGCCCATTTTTTAGTCTTCCCTTCCTCAGTGCCAAAATCCCTTTAACTCTGCCCATTTTTGCCCCTTTCCTTCCCCGCTGCCAGGGTTTTGAATGCCCCTGGGTGACACAGAGGGCATGTCTGGTGTCACCCGGAGCCACCCACCTTGCTCCTTGTTCCTTGTCCTCGGTGCCTGCCCTGGCTTTAATTAAAACCTTCTAATTAATTAGGCAGTGAACTCCAACAGAGGGGATGGACCAGCTGGGATACACATCCTTTGAGCCCAAACACCCCAGCGTAGCACCCCATGGATGGGGGGTTGCCCTGTGATGGTGGCCGTGGGGCCGGATCCAGCCCCGGAACGAGAGGGTTAGCGCTGGGCTGAGCTCGGTGCCGGGGGCTGGCCTTGGCCTGCAGCCGCCTGGCCCAAAGGTCGGGCTTTTGGCAGGATGCCGGGGCTGCAACGAGGGTGGGAGGCTGGGACGGGTTCGGCGTGAGCTCCGCTTCCAGCCTGCGGAGAGACCCACGGCCCCCCCTGGGTGC